ATACTCACACTCACACTCACACCTACATCCACATTCACACTCATACCAACACTCACACTCACACCCACATCCACACTCCCACCCACACTCACACCCCACACCCATACCCATAACGAACAGTATAATTGTCAAATAGAAAGCGTTATTTGAGTATCGCTTCAATCAAAATTGATTTTACTTTTCTTGTTGTTTCATTCACATTATCAGAGTGTTCGTTATAATCATAATAAAACAAAAGCAAACTGACGATGTCTTTGTTGTTGTTTTTGTTTCTGCCAAAAAAAAAGGCAAAAAAGTCGTTCCTAGAGAATCAAAGAAAAATCAAACACTCAAGGAGATAAGGCACCTGTAGGATGACTTAAATGTTCTTCTACAAATGAAAAGCAAATAAAATTCGGAAAGAATGACCAAAAACTAAATGACGTTGTTGGTTTTTTTTCTTTTTCATTTCTTGTTGAGTGTCAACGAAAACGAAAGACACGCACATTTGTCGTCGTAGAAAAATCTATAAAAAACGTAAGGCATCGACTGTATCAATTGAAAAAATGATGTCTGTCTAAACAACAATCTGTTATTCATAATACTCGATAACCACTCAAACGACAAAAATTACATCCAAAATGGGTGGACTGAAATCCAAACAACAAGTTTTCAAATCAACTATGGATGTTGCAGGATGCACAACAACATCACTCAATACTATTCAACCAAGACGTCATATAATTCAGAATTATTTGCTCATCTGGATCGATGGTAATATCAATGAAACAAATGAAGATTGTCAAAATACACTGGCACAATTGCGTCGTGTTGTCAATGAAGTGACAATTTGTGCCCAACCAACACAATGTATCAGATGCCTCAATGATGCGGATGACGAGAAAGCTTTCGTCATCTCTTCCGGTACTTTAGGTCAGCATTTGGTGCCACAAATTCATGATATGCCACAAGTAGATGCTATTTATATCTTCTGTGGCGACGAATCGCGACACAAAACATGGACAAAGGAATGGCCGAAGATTCAAGGCGTATTCACATCAATTAACCCAATATGCGAGTCATTAAAACGGGTTGCCCGCCAATGTGACCATGACAAAATGCCGATGAGCTTCATTCCAAAGCAGATGATGCAGGGCATAACATCGGATCAACTAAATCTCGACCAGTTCGAACCAGCCTACATATATTCATTCCTTTTCAAAGAAATCATCTTAGAAATCGATGAAGATGATGCAAAGTCAGTAAAAGAGCTAGTGATTTATTGTCGACAACAAAAAGTCTCTGAATTCGAATTGAACGATTTTCAACGTCAATATCACGAGAAGTCACCAGTCCAATGGTATACTTCTGATATTGTCCTGTACAGCATGCTCAACCGCGCTCTGTGGTCACTTGACATGGAAGCCATGGCAAAAATGGGCTTTTTCATTCGAAACCTTCATCGACAACTTAAACAACTGCATCAAAAACAATCGGATACATTTAAAAAACAATTTAACGTTTATCGTGGCCAAGAACTCTCCCAACAAGACTTTGACCATCTATGTGATACAAAAGGTGGATTTCTCTCATTCAACAACTTCTTGTCTACTAGCACAGAAAAACACATCGCCATGAAATTTGTTAAACGCACACTGCGCAAAGATAAAGACACTGTGAGTGTTCTCTTTATTATGACAATTAATCCTAATGAAGTTTCGGGTTCACG